CACACACACACACACACACACACACACACACACAAATTTCATACATTTTTGATCCAAAGCATACCCAGATCAGAATGTGCCCTGAGGTTAGTACTCTTCCCAAGGAATTCTAACTGGATCCCATCTTTCCTTTCCCAGTTCCAATTAGTTGATTCGGTTCCTATTTATTCCATTTCATCTGCCAAATTGTAATGGAAAACAAGCAGCTCTGGGGTATGTTTTCTGGATGTTTGGATAGTTTTATTCAACTTCTGTGTTTTTCCTATCCCTCGGTTGTTCTAAACCCATTCTTGAGAGACTTGTTTACTGGGTTGCAGAACCCGACACTCGGCCCGGTGGTGGGAACATAGTGCTCTCTGGTGGACTTCTGGGAGAATTACAAGCGCCACTCACAAAGCTTGAAAGCCCCCTCCTCCTGCCAAAAAAGAACCCTGTACAGACTGGAAATGGAACTCAGGACTTCATACTGAGCTACACCAGCACCCTCTTTAAACTATAAATTTTGAGATGGGGGTCACCCTAAATCCTTGAGCTGGCCAGGCTGAGGTGGAATCCGTGATTTTTCTGCCTCAGCCTCCCAGAGTTCTGAGATTATAGGTATGAACATTACACTTACTGGTTAAGGTTTTTTTTTTTTTTTTCTTGGCTGGCCTTTATGGGGAAGGCATATATATGATAAATTAATCAACACACAAGTGAATTTCCTACACCAGATGTTTAAGAGATATTTTGCTGAGAGCATTGCCTGATTACAAGGCATAATTTTATCATTATAAAGTTAGGCCTCAACTGCCTGGGCATGGGCAGCTGACAGTGACTGTGCCTTTTTTCCTTTTTTAAAAATCACTTCCCAATAACATAAGAAGGATAAAGAGAAAAGGAAGTCTCCCAAAGAAAGGCCATGGAGAAGACTAAGGGAGAAGAGCAAAGAATTGGAAGATCTGGTCACAGTCTAGCCTCTGTCCTCATGTAAGCCCGAGCCTGAGCATTTAAAAATGAACCACCAGTTGAGGGCTTGCCAAATACTTATTCCCAGAGAGGACGGGAGCTGGCAGTGGGCACAGAAGGTAGCAGAAGCTCACCTGTTGGGGTCTGTAGGTTATTTATGCTGTGCTGCTCCCTACACCAGGATCTTTCAGTTGGGCCACCTTTGCTCCCCTTTCTCCTTCCCTTCCCTATTTCATTCTGAGCACTGCTTGCCTTTCCATTGCCATTAGCAAAGTCACCATGCCCGGGAGGACACAGTCATTGGCTTGAGTCTTCCACACCTGCACTTGACTTCCTGTCTTGCCTCGTGGGTGCTGTGAGGCTTAGCAAGCTAAGCTGCAATTTCCTGGAGGGAAACAAGTAGGGAGCAGCCTGCTGGATTTTAATGTCCACCACGAATGAGGAAGAGAGAGGGCCTCTGCTAAGGAGACCACTCCGACCTTAGGACTGTTGGTGCTGCCTAGAGGAACCTCCATCCTGTGTCCCAACACCAAGAAGTAGCAGGGCTGCGGAGAGATTCTAGAACCAAAATAAACCTATAGCTAGCATTAGCTACATCCCGTAGTCAGAGTACACAAGAAATTTTGGAACTTGTGTGTGGCAAAGTCTCTACCCCTTAGGCCAAGGGCTGGAAGAGATGGAAACGATCCAGAGATAATGTGTAATAAATGACATGCACAATAATGGCAATGGTGAGCTAAGTAAGATTTGACTGGCGTAGGAGCAATGAAATACGACATTGGAAGAACACCAAGCATTTAGATTCTATAAAACTTGGAATATACAAATTTGTTATTAAACCTTTTATTTTTTAGTACTAGGAATCGAACTCACTACCTTGTGCTTGCTAGGCAGGCACTGTGCCGCTGAACTATGTCCCAGCCCTTATTAAAGTATTTTTAAAGTCACTTTATGTGACAAACTTTGAAGTGAAGCTAGTCTTTAAAAGTTATGGGTGGGAAGGAGGAGACAGAAAGAACACAAGCTTAACCTAAGTTGATTATAACTTGCTACGCTGCTTCTACCTGGTAGCTGCTTCTTTAGCGAGAAGCACTCACAGTATCAGGATGAAGTTCACATGATTCCAGTTTTGATCATGAGAAATCTTTATTCCTTTGGGGAAAAGCAATCACTGGTGCCTGGAGAAGCAGTGGGGACAGTGGGGACAGGCCGAGATGAGATGCGTCACTCCAAAGCCTTTCGCATACATCCTCCCGGTGCCTTTGTTTGCACACAGACATCCCCCCAGTGCTCTTCCTTCCCTCTCCCCAGTCCCATTCTTGTCCTTTTCTCAAGCTCTCCTGTTTCCTTGGCAATGATCAGAGGTTCAGAGATAGAAAAGGCCCCAGTAGTTGAGAACTAGCTGCTGGCCCACTGGACCATTTCCTTCAATAGAGCTGAAGAGAGTGAGGTACCCAGGGCTGAGACAACCCAGGGGCACGATGGTGTGTGCTAAGCGACATACATGCTTGGCCCTGGATCAGTGGGAGCTCTTTGAAAGGAGGGGGGCCTGGTCATCCTTCTCTGGCTGCTCCACTTCTCGCAGCAGGCTGTAGAGAGGCCCTGGAGTGCTCTCGTGACACAAAGCATCTCTGGACCCCATCAACTTCAAGCTGGGGCTGTAGCAGTGGTGCCAAAAGGAAGAGAGGCCATAGATTCCCAGAAGGCACAGAGCATCGATCATTACATGCCAGCAGAAGAAGGTGGTGATGAACATGATGTCACTGATGTCATCATCATCCCATGGATAACCAGAGATTGGCTTGTATAGAATAAATCCTGCCTGCACCAGCCAGGAGCCCATGATCAGGAACAGAAAAGTCTCCATCACCCAGAGGTGAACCATCTCAGGAGCCCAGAGCTCTGCAGTCAGCACCACCATCAACAGGAACATCACCAAGATGAGCAGAGAGTGGACTTGCAGCTCTACCCCTGAGGAGCTCTTCACATGAGACACCAGCAGCAGCAGCAGCTCATAGGAACCCAGGACCAGGGTGCCCTTTTCTAGGACCACAAATCTCTGAGGCAGCACATTCTTGCTCAGGACATCTGCACAGCCACTGAGGATGAGGAGAGTGAACATGGTGAAGTGCTGCCACTCTTTGGGGTACATGAACCTTGGTGGTGTCTCCTTGCTCATAAATCTGATTGGTTCTTCACTGGTGAGGATGTCACACCATATGAAGAGAATGCCAGCCACTATCTTTGCCCAACCTCCAAAGGATATTTTCCACAGCCTAGCCCATCTTCCCTTATTCTTGGGAGGCCATGAAGGATACAGGAGCGAGTCATTGGAGAGCACAGCTTTGGAGACCACTATTGCCTGATACAGCCCAAAGAAGAACAGGAACAGGCCTGGATATACATGGCCAATGAAATTTCCCATTGAGCCACAGATCTGCCTAAGGAAGCAGGAAAGAGCAAAGCCCAGGCAGCTCAAGGTCTGCCTCCCACCTGCTTTTATTATCTCACCCCGCCCACAGCTCCCCCACAGACAGGAAACGTTTCTTGAGATAGACCCACTCGTTTGGCAGAACATGGGCTCATTCTACCCTAGCCCACGACTGGCTTCTGCCAAAGAAAGAAGTTGTAGAATGGCTTGCAGGGGTTCCTCTCTGCAGTTGTCCAGGAGGTTTTTGTTTTGTTTTGTTTTGTTTTTTAAGTATTTTTTGTTGGGAAACAAATAGCAATGAGACAGTTTCACAACTGATTACTAGTACCTTTTCAATAATTAATACATTGCATATTGTTGTCTTAGTGGTTATTCACTGTACAAGATGCAGTCCTAATATCCTGTCTCAAACACTATGAGAACAAACCTCTCTATTTATTGAATTAAGAGAATGGAGCTGTGTATCTGTCCTATTTTGAGTATACAGATACAAATTGGTTGTTCATTTGTATCCTCTTTTTTTGGTTAGTTTTGTCAGAGAAGGGCATTCCATTGTCATTTAAATACTGTAGGTGCATGAATTCAGTAAAATACGCCAATAGTCCATAATAGCAGTGGGTTGTCCATAACACTGTGAAAGTCCAAAGTTGTTGACTTGAGCATTTTACAGTTCATCATATTAGTATGCCTTTACTTTTTATACTTCATTTTCCTAGGAGCTTTTGGTCCTTGTCTCCCATGGCTGTCTTCCTCTTATTGTGCCAGCCTTGTCTTTGTCTCAGGAGGAGTGAGAGCCGTGGAGTAGAGGAAGGTATTGCTGTATAATATGGAGAAATTCTGGGTGTTCATAAACACTGGCATGTCCTTCACTGTTTCCCAGGCTTAACTGGTCCAAATGTAATATCAAATGTCTTCTTTCTGGATGCATATTTATAAACACTGGGATATGTGACCGAACAATCTGCACCTCGCACCTATATGGCTTTTCTGTTCTTTTGAGATAGACGTGTCTTAAGACCACCAAGAAAGCTCCTTTCCCCTCTGCTCCCTAACCCTCCCATGTGCTCCAGCCACTACCAATGCCACTTTAACATCTCTACAGCCTGTACATGAGTCTGCAAAGCTACCCTTTAAAATTGATTTTAGGGGCTGTGGTGATTTCAGTTTGCAAGTCAGCAAAGCTAAATATGAACTATGTTTCCCAGAATTCCTCTCCCTCCATGGCTACAAGTTGGGCTTGTCTACAAATGGAACTTTTGGGAGAGTCTGCAGCTAGAAGTAAAGTAGTAGCCCAAGTCCGCTTGGAGGGTGCAGGGTGCCGGGTACCACTAGGGCCCATGCATCCATTACTGATCTGACAGCCCAGCACAAGGCCTGTGCGGCAGCCAGGCTGAGGACTCCCTCAGCTTCTCATCAGCTGAAGAACACCAGGCTCCTTTTCAGGTCGCCTGCTATTGAGATACAAGATGGCGAGAGGTAGAAAAGGGCTCCAGTATGTCTTAGCAGGTTTCAGTCTGTCTTTGTTCTTTAATACTGTATAGAACAGATCTCTTCCCTACTGCTGCCACATTGGACTGAAATGACACCAGGCCCAACCTGCAGTACAAGGTCAACAGCTTCTGTAGACTCCACTATCAGCTCCCACCAGTATGTAAGGTCTGTTTTTAATGAGACAGCCATGAGCTTCACCACTCTTTCCCCATTCCTCTGCTTCTGTGATACATCCCTAACCAATACAAGAAAGTACCATGGGGTTCCTAAAATGTAGATACCACAGAGAGAAGCAACTATAATAAGATGGTACTGGCTATTTAAGTTTTAATCATATTTTTTCTGTACTTAGGACAGGGTCTACAGGGTCTACAAGGTCTCACTACATAGATCGGACTCATAGTGATTATCCTGTTTTCAGTCTCCCAGGTACTGGGATTACAGGTGCTCACCACCACACCCAGTCTCAATTGCCATCTTAGCATGCCCCGGGGCAGGGCTGGCACCGCATGCCAGGGACTGAACCATGGACACTGTGCTCTGCCTAAGCATGTGCTCTAGTCCACTGAGCTATCAGGCTGGCCTTGGCTATTTAAATTTTAATGTGAATCTCTGTGTTGTTTTAATTTGCATTTCTCAGATGACCAATGATATTGAACATTTCTTGTATTTATTTGCCATTTGTATTTCTTCATCTGAGAAGTATGTATCTCTGATGCCCATTTTTGGATTGGGTCTTTGAATTTTGGGGGCCCAATGCTTTTTTAATTATTTATATGTTCTAGATAGAATTGACCCTTTATGTAAGGGACAATTGGCTAAAAAAATTTCCCCAATTCTTTTTTACTCTGTTGATAATGTCTTTGATGTGCAAAATTTTTTTGATTAGATGAGATCCCAGTTGATGATTCTTTGAAGTATTTTCTGTGCAATTTGGTTTTTGTCATGAACTCTCTGCCTACCCCCATGGCTTCAAGATTTTTACCTACTTTCTCTTCCAGTAGATTTAGTGTTTCTGTGTTAATATTTAGATATTTGATCCATTTTGACTTTAGTTTAGTGGATGATAAATAGACATGGGTCTAGTTTCAGTCTTCAGTATATGGAAAGCCAATTTTTCCAGCAGCATTTATTAAAAAGGTTATCTTTCAGGGCTGGCCAAATAACTCAGCTGATTAAAGCACCTGCTTACAGGTGCAGGGGCTGGGGGTTCTATCCCTGGGCCTGCACTGAGATGGTGATTGTGCATGGTGGCATGTGCCTATAATCTCAGCTCTTGGGAGGCTGTAAACAGGTGGATCACTATGAGTCTGTGCTAGTAGTGAGACCCTGAACACCCTGTAGACCCTTCCCTAAAATAAAAAAAAAAAAAAAAAAAAAAAAGGCTATCTTTTTTCCAATGAGCAGGTTTGACCCTTTTGTTAAAGATTGTTGAATTCCTATCATCTTGTGTTTTGAAATTCTGTATCATTTGTAATGGTTTTTTAAATTATTTTTTCTCTATAAAATTTTTAAAAAACAACAAATTTAGTGTGCAATAGCCCATCCTCTTCATTTTCTCTTCTTACATTAGTGTCTAATGCACCTGAGAACACAGCATCCTACATACTGGGCCGCAGTCAGTGAGCACAGGCAGAGGTGAAGGTGAAGAGCGAATGATGAGCGGGCGCACAAAAGGACCTCGGGGGTTTGACTTTTGTTTTTGAGATAGGGGCTTGCTGTGCCTTTCAGGTTGGGCCTGGACTCACTGCGTGGCTCAGGGGAGCCTCAGACTGCAGTGATCCTCTTGCTTCAGCCTCCCAAGCAGTAAAATTACGGATGTGTATCACTACGCCTTGAGATTTGTTTCTGCATGGAATAGGAGTTTTTCTGGGTGCAATACATTTCCTGAAGGAAGAGAAAGTTCATAATAAACTATGAGTCGAGCACTTTAGTTTTTTACATAACCATCTATTCTTACTACAAGCAGTGCTGCAGGGCAAAGAGGACATACTTGTATGCTGATAATGTCCCAGAGGGAGGAAAGTTCCTACTAGGTCACAGGACTGCCGCTGAGCCTCACTCTTACCCAAGTACAGATGCTTCTTTTGTGATGGTGTATGTCTTCATTTGTCAGCAAAAATACCGTAAGGGAAAAGTGTACGTAAAACCCCTAACCACCTCTTTCCAGCCTGCGCCAAGCAATGGATATTTCTTAGGACAACTGGCACAAGCGCTGCAAGACCGGGGGCAAAAGAAAGCCCCACCACAAGAAATGGAAGTGTGAGTTGGGGTGCCCTGCTGCCAACACAAATATTGGTGTGCCTTCTGCATACACACATTTCTGAGTTTGAGGAGGCAACAAGAGGTACAGAGCCCTGCAGCTAGATGTAGGAAACTTCTCCTGGGGCTCTGAGCATTGAACTCGAAAAACAAGGATCATTGCTGTTGTTTACAATGCATCCAGTAGTGAGCGGTCAGCACCAAGACCCTGGTGAGGAACTGCATTGTGCTCATTGACAGCATGCTGTACTGACAGTGGTACAATCC